CACACACACACACACACACACACACACACACACACACACACACACACACACACACACACACACACACACACACACACACACACACACACACACACACACACACACACACACACTTGGTATGTGATGGGTTTATTCCAAGCATATTTGGAGCCATAACAGTAAGGACCACAAGCAATGTATTTCAAATGTTCGCAATATGTTCATTTCTTGAATAATGGAACAACCAAATCTGTCTTAACTAGCTAGGTGGCTCTTGAGGGTTGAGGTGACTGGTCAACCAGGCTCTAGAGGCAAGAAGGCAGTTCATCAGGGTTGACATTGTTGGTCAACCAAGCTCCACATGCATGGAGGTTGTTAATCATTAGTGAACAGAGAGAAGATAGTGAACAGAGAGCACTCTTTTTCCAAGAACATAGTGAATAGAGATAAATTTTCTTTTGTTAGAACTTAGGCATGTTCAATATATATGAGACAACTTGTTATTTGATTCACTTCTCACTTAAAAACCCCACCTAACCTTCCTCTAATTGGTTCTTTACTCTTCTCTGCTAGGCTTGTAATTGGTCCATACTCCATTATTAGGGAGGAGCCTATTTACAACCTTAGAGATAGCAAGGAATTTACATAAACAAGGACTCAAAAGTTTATTGGACTGGCCACATACTTAGGCCTTGCTATACTTATTTCATATAAAGTACATGCACTTCAAAGTGCATCTGCAAATTCCTGGATAAGAGGTTTACTTATACAGATTCTCTATTTGCTCCTTGTATTGTGCCACGACTATGTCCCTTCATATTTTCATAGTTGGATTCATTAAACCACTATCAATATGCAATAAAAAGGTAAAATTAATCAGCCAGCCAGTCACATCTGTAACTGGAATGACAATGCGGGCAATGATATTTTACAGTAAAGGACATATCCACAGTCAAGATTGGTCCAATTTGAAATGAACACACTGAACCGGATCGATTATGTTAAGTTTACTTATTCATTTATATCTAAAATTATTAGTATGCCTAATTAGTAACTCCAAGTAACATCTCAACATTTTAGCCCAATTAACTAATATCTTAGTTCCAATTTATAACCAACTAAATAACAACTCTAACCCAACTTCTTTTTATTTATTTATACAAGCGATATTCTACTTTAATCTAATCTAAACTAAGGGGGGGAATTTGAACTCAAATGCATAGTGGGGAAGCACATTCTCTCTAGTTAACTTGGCTAAACCCATGTCTGCAATTTTTTTTATTTTTGGTGAACCATACTCGTTCTTGTTGTACTTGTCTTTCTTTCTTTTCCACCCATTTCTTTCTATTTCTCTTCCTCTTTCTCTCTTCACCTATTTCTCTCTTCTATCTCTTTCACTCTTATTTTTTCTCTTCTACCTCTTTTTCTCTTCTTCGCATCTTTATATTTTTATCTTTCCAAACCGGAAACCAGCCAAATCGAACTGGAACCATATAGGTCCAGTTTGATTCGGTTCTTTGAGACACTTTCTATGAAAATTGAATCAAACCGGGTCATGTGTGAGTTTCCATTTCAGTTCCAATTCGAGGGAAAAATGTCACGCCCCGATCCGGAAATAAGGAATATTCCCAAATCAGGGTGCTTGAATTGAACAAAATAAAATAAATGGACTGAAAAATTTGTTAAAATACATTTCCCTTAAAAAATAATAATAATCTTACAAGTGTACAAGATATAAATAAAACTTTATCACTCTCAACTAATCCAACTTCTCTATTTTAGTCCTTATCTTGACCACTAATTGATCTGAAAAATAAAATAGGTGAGGGATGAGCAAACCGCCGCTATGCATGTCGAGCAATGTCATTTTACACACTCTAAAAAATATAATAAAAAGATACACAATCCAAATCATATCACGTCATTACTTCATATCTCGGTTATCCTTTACAAATAGTACCCAGCACGTGACCCTTATCGGCCTCACTGCCCTATGTCTCCGTCTAGTACATTTATCCTTCAGATATCTTGTCACTGAAGTTTTCATGTTCCATGAATAGTACGTACCTCACAAAAACTCCAAATAATATATTTTGTGTGAAATATTGCACATATTAGACATGCTTGACTTGAAAATAGAGAGAGATTTGTAAATAGAACAAATCCATGATAATCTATGATTTTCACATTTATCACAAAATAAGAACTTTTAAAACACATTACATAACTCACTCACCATAATAATGATAATTATAAAATCTTGCAAGACAAATCCACACGTCCTCCATCTTGTTTCTTTTTCTTTTTCTTCTTCTTCTTCTTCTTCTTCTTCTTCTTCTCTCTCTCTCTCTCTCTCTCTCTCTCTCTCTCTCTCTCTCTCACTACATGATAGAAATCTATTCTAAAGAATTGGAATGAATGATTGAAGCAAGGAAGGATGATACTGATGCAACCAAATAATATTTATATATATAATATTCTAAACCACTAAAAGATAAGATAGAAAACTAAGGGAATAATGTGACTCATCCCGCTTTGGCCAATGATTTCCTTAACGAATATGTGACTCATTTATTTCCACCAATGATACCACAACACCACTTGTTACTAGCATGCAAGGTGACATGGCAATGATGATTTGATTAAGACCAATTCCAAGTCTCTATATGTGGAAAATAAGAATGGTACCATCTTTCACCTAAAGGAATAATCTTATACTAGGCTTGAGATTTAATAACATGTAGGTCTTCACAATAAATATTAAATAAGGAAAAGCCATATTAATAAATAATGAATATGTAGTATGAATATTTATTTAAAATAATAATATATATAGTTTTTAAAAAAAGGGATCTCACAAAAACTAGACCAAACCAAACTGTGCCTACCCTTACTTGTTAGATAGTTTGGCACAACTGGAATGCTTGATATTGTGCGTCGTAAGACTATCTCCAACTCAAGGCGTGGAATCTCAAATTTTGAGTTTTGAGCCCAAAATCCATCTCCAACCCATGTATTTTGAGGGGTGGAATTTTGGCCAAGGCAGAATCTAGGGCGGAATTCCAATATGGATATTGCATGGACTGGTAATTTTGTGTAGAGCCCAACCTTAAGCTGTGCAGCCCACGTCAAAGGAAAAGACAGTGGGCCCCGCATGACAGAAAGCTGTCAACCACTCCATTGCTTCCACGTGACAAGTGGCAGCCGCTGGTGAAGGAGCCGTTGGAATCCAACGGCTCTATTTGAAAGCTAAAGTGTAGTTTTTATTTATTTATTTAAATTTTATAAAATGCCCAGGCTATAACAAATTAATGTCCATGATTATTTTTAGGCAATCTCAACGGGAAAATTTCACATCCAATAGTTGAAATTTAAATCCAACGGTCAAATACTTTTTATAATTAATCTAAATCATATCCAACCCCAAAACTCATCCCAAAATCTATAAATACCCATTCATGTTTTAAATAATCCACCTAAATCATTTATTTTTAAGTACAATTATACTATGTTTTGGAATTTGAATTTTTTAGGTTAAATGTTCAGAAAATTAAATCGTGAATGTTGAAACAAAAATAATGTCAAGAAAAGTTAATGACAAAAAAAAATAGAGATTAACCATTCTTCAACAAAGGGAATGCTAGCAACCTTCTCTCCAACCTTCTCTTTTGGACCTTCTCCCTTTTTTGCTTGACATGTGTCATTCTTCTTACACTTAAAATAATGTCATTAATATATTATACAAGCTAACTTTTGCTTTTCAAGTTTACCCTTATTAAATGTATTCAATTTATCCAAAAAAATTTCACAACTTTCTTACCATCTCATTAATTTTTTTTAATGTCAATTTTTTTATTTTTAAAATGTCTGCTTAAAAAAAAAAAGGAAAATACTGACATTTCCTTTTTTTTTAACATCAATTTCCTTTTTTATAATAAAATAAAAAGTCTAAACTTGACGTTAAAAAAAAAGGGACGTTTCCTCTTTTAAAAAAGAAAAAGACATTTTCTTTAAAAAAATAATTGATGTTAAAAAAAAATAATAATAAGATGGTAAGAAAGTTGTGAAATTTTTTGGGATAAATTGAATACATTTAATAAGGGTAAACTTAGAAAGCAAAAGTTAGCTTGTATAGTATATTAATGACATTATTTTAAGTGTAAGGAGAATGACACATGTCAAGCAAAAAAGGGAGAAGGTCTAAAGGAGAAGGTTATAGAGAAGGTTGCTAGCATTCTTCTCTTAAACAATTTGATAAAGTTGCGGACTGAAATTATGAGTGCAAGGTTGGAGGTAAAAACAGTTTGAGTCGTGAAAATACATGAATAGTTGTATTTTAGAGGGTGAAAATTTGAGTTTAGCCTCAACATGATTGGAGAAAATACAAATTGACGAAAAGTGAGCACTTGAACGTAATTAGTAACAAACGTAAGCTACAAAGGTAAAAGTAACAAAATTGAAACCAAAAGTGAAAATTAAAATAAACAATGAGTACCATTTGTAATTTTTGACTAGTGACACTGAAATAGAGACATTTTCCGTACATTTAAGGTTAGGGTTCAAACATCCAACTTCTCTTTTGCTCATTTGACAACCATAAAATGCACCAACTCACGAAATTTGGTAAGGAAATTTGTCATCCCCATGTACATGTACATGTTACGTATCATATTTAATTGGTTAGGATTTAACTTTATGAAACTCCCTCTCCACTCTTTTGAAGGGAAAGTGACATTACCAACTAAGGATTAGATTTTTTATTTTGTTTTTCTTACAAATTACATGAACAAGTACACACTACACACTACATACTCTTAATTATAGATTCAATCAATACCAGCATTACAAAGTTGGTTCATGTAATTTAAGAATTTTTTTTGTATGCACTTTGTTAGAAGATTGTATATGACCAATATATATATATATTAGAAACAGATGGATCTGAAACTATATATATATATATATATATATATATATCTCTGGAAGAGATCATTGCATACTAAAATAAAATAAAGTATAATTGGCTAATGATGTCAGTGTGTGCCCTAATGAGCTCCAAAATACAATCAATGAGGTCAAACCTGAATTTAGAAGCAAAAGAAGCCAAGCCAGCTGAAGAAGAACCAAACAGGAAACAAGATTGAAGAGCCCCGAGAGGATCCAAAACCAGAACTTCCATTTCATCAGATTCCGAAAGGACGCCCTCTAATTTTATTTCCCGCCAAAAATGTAAACGAAATCCCCCAAAATACTGTCGCAAGTTTCAAAATCATCGCTCGCACTTGCAGTGTTCTTCTTCTTCAGAAATGGGCATGGAATCCAGCTCCACCCACTTCACGATTATGAGAAGGTAAATTGAAACTAACCGTTGTTTTCCTATTAATTCGCAATTAAATTTATGGCTTACCCAATCAAACTTTGTGAATTGGGTAGTTTTGATTGTTTGTTGGGTTTTTTCTTCTTCTTCTTTTTCTCCTTCATCCCATGCTGCTATGTTTGGTTGCTGAGAAATAGGGGAAAAATTGTGATAAATTTATGATTTATTGATCTGATAATTAATTTATGTATTTGTTTCATTATTTTCCTAACCACTGTTCACATTCATGAACTGCTGTGCTGCTGACCATGTTAATAGATTAGTTTCTGTACAAGTTTGCTTTCCATTATCAGTAAATGCTGTTTCAAATTGTTAATCAAATGGTGGCAAAGGTTGAAGTGTTTTTTTATGTCATTTTTGTTTGGTTTGAACACAGCTCAGATACTGATTCTAAGATTGAAGACAGTGGGAACAACTTAGTCTTAAAAGCATACCCGATGCTTCCCATGAAAACTGTTAATGCAGAGGATGAAGGAGAGTCTAGAGTACTTGAACCATATGTGGGGTTAGAGTTTGATTCAGCAGATGTTGCACGTGACTTTTACAGTCTCTATGCAACCCGGATGGGATTTAGAGTTCGAACTGGTCAGTTGTATCGGTCGAGAACAGATGGTTCAGTTTCTTCTCGGAGATTTGTGTGCTCCAAGGAGGGATTTCAGATTAGTTCACGAACTGGTTGCCCTGCATTGATAAGGGTGCAAAGACGCGATTCAGGGAAGTGGGTTGTAGACCTTTTCCTGAAGGACCACAATCATGGTCTTGGATCCACAGAGGAAAACCATTCTCCGATTTTGCAGAAGAAGACTCTAACACGTACAAACACCGTTGTTGAATTGTCCCATAGGCCAAAAATCAAATCGATTGAGGAAATTGAGGATTTACGACCTTGCCCATCTGGAATTATTAGTGCCAAACGCTTTAAATGGGATGGAGATGAAATGCAGCCAGAAGTTGAACCATCTGCAGGTCTAGAGTTCAATTCAGCCAATGAAGCATACCAATTTTATCATGTATATGCAGAAAATACAGGATTTAGAATCAGGATTGGTCAATTATTTCGTTCAAAGCTTGATGGGTCAATTACATCCCGGCGATTTGTGTGCTCAAAGGAAGGTTTTCAGCACCCATCAAGAGTTGGTTGTGGGGCATTTATGAGGATTAAGAGACAAGACTCTGGAAGGTGGGTAGTGGACCGTCTTGATAAAAATCATAACCATGAGCTTGAGTCTCAACTGGAAGTTAAAAAGACAAATCTATTTTCTTCAAAAAAGTTCATAGAAGAGGAGATTGGTGGGCTAGAAAATGAAGATATTGTTGACATAAACAACGGTAACCATGTCAAAAGACGTAGAGAAAATCACATTGGAAGTGATTGGTACCGTGTGCTGTTTGACTATTTTCAGACCAAACAGGCTGAAGATACAGGATTCTTTTATGCAGTAGAGGTTGATAATGGTAGTTGCATGAGTATTTTCTGGGCTGATGGGAGGTCTAGATTTTCATGCTGTCAGTTTGGTGATGTCATTATTTTGGATACCTCATATCGGAAAGGCATTTATCTGGTGCCATTTGCCACTTTCATTGGAATCAACCACCATAAGCAACCAGTGCTTCTTGGCTGTGCTCTAATTGCTGATGAATCTGTGAAATCTTTTACTTGGTTGTTTCAAACATGGCTTAGGGCAATGTCAGGACGTTGTCCTCTGTCAATAATAGCTGACCAAGACGATGTGATCCAGCAAGCCATCATGCAAGTTTTTCCAGGAACCCATCATCGTTTCTCATTGTGGCAGTTCAAGGCAAAAGAAAGTGAGCATCTACGTTTGATGAATACTTCCTTTAAATATGAGTATGAAAAATGCATTTATGAGTGTCAAACAGCCGATGAATTTGATACCGCATGGAATGCACTCCTCAGCAGGTATGGGTTGAAGGATAATGGTTGGCTGAAAGCAATGTATGCAAAGCGCAAAAGTTGGGTCCCGCTATACTTAAGAGCTACATTCTTTGCGGGCATCCCCTTCAATGAAAGTATAGAATCATTCTTTGGTACACGCTTCAATGCCCAAACACCACTTAAGGAGTTTGTTTCACAATATGAAAGAGGTCTAGAGAGACGGCGCGAAGAAGAAAGGAAAGAAGATTTTAACTCTTTTAACTTGCAAGCCTTCTTGCAGACAAAAGAACCATTAGAAGAGCAATGTAGAAGGCTTTATACACTGAACATATTCAGGATATTTCAGAAAGAACTTCTACAATCCTATAGTTATCTAGGATTTAAGATTTATGAAGAAGGGGCCACCATCAGGTATTTGGTCCGCAAATGTGGGAATGACAATGAGAAATGTGTAGTAACTGTTGGTCCATCCAATCCCAAAGTGATTTGCAGCTGTCAAATGTTTGAATTTGAAGGTGTGCTGTGTCGGCATGTGTTGAGAGTTTTCCAAATCTTGGACCTAAAAGAAGTTCCACCTTGCTATATATTACAGCGTTGGACTAGAAATGCAGAATATGGCATTCCTTGCGATTCTGAATCTGGTGGAAACCCTCAAGAACTTAAGGCCTTGATGGTATGGAGTTTAAGAGAAGCAGCCTGTCAATACATAGAGGCTGGGGCAACATCTCTTGAAAAGCACAGACTTGCCTACGAAATTATGCGAGAGGGTGGAAGAAAACTTTGTTGGCAGAGGTAAACAATAGTCAGTCATCTCTGATTCTCTATGGATAAAGTTTTGAAGTTTTTGAGCTACATAAGTAGCTAGTCCTTTTCTACAGCAAGCCTAGGCTATGTAATCGAAAGATCGATGACTTGCCTTGGATAATCTGTTGTTGATGTCAGAGTAATGTAAATATTGTGTTGTGAAGATTACCCCTCATCAGATGATTGATCTTGAAATCAATATCAAAAGTTTATGAGCCAATAATGAAAGCATGAGGCTGTATTTGGTTATGTCAAAGTTTAACTTTTATTTTTTTATTTTTTTGGTCGAATGTCAAAGTTTAACTTTGTTAAAAGTTGTAACCTTTTTTTAGATCACAAGAACTTAATTAGATGGAAATCAGACCAAAAACATTTTGGGTGATTGTTTTTTTTTTTTTTTGGTTTTTGTTTTTGGGGAGGACCTTTTCTATTGAGAGGGGTGATAATATACTAAACTCACCCACACTATCCGAATGCTAGGATTCAAACCCAGGACCTTATTTGAGGGAGTAAATACTCCAAACCACTACATTAGTGGGCCCTTTACTTGAAAGAGGAGAAATTCTTCATGTGCTGATTCGTTGTTCGAATTTGATATCTGGTAAGAGAGCCAAATCTCACAAACCCTCCCACAACTCATGCAAGCCCTAGGATTTGATCACAAGAGCGAACAGCTAGAACCATAGACGATGGTTGTTCACTGTATAAGATTGTTTTTTGTACAGTTTTTTAAAGGCATATACTGTAATTCAAACATTTATAAAACATGTATTTCTGTAATATAGTTTCGAAGTGCCAAATTTGAGTGCAACATTGATGTAACGTACAATTTGTTCTTTTTTTATTTATCTCCTTTCAAATTTCATAGAAAATTGCAAGTCGTATCCTTTTTTTGATATAAAGGGAAGGGAGACTAATGGGGCGGATTCACTGTCCTGACCAACTAGTCTAACTCATGTTTGCTGCAAGTTGTACCCTTAAACTAAGATCATCATTTTTATGGCAATGAAACCAAATTAGAAAATTAATGTTGCAATTGAAAAAAATATATTCAAGAAAAAGTTAATAAGATGATATCATTGAGAGCATTTAAAGAAGTCATTCTCCATCTCCACATCATTTGGTTCACGGAACAAATTTGAGGGGAAATCACTTCCCATCCCATGTCATTTCCTAAGGAATGAGAAATGGAGATTCATTTCCCATGTTTGATAATCATGAGAAAGTAATCAAGAAATACCACTTTATTTCCTTTCACATGTTTGGTTTGTGTAGGAATGTAAAACAAAGTTTGTTTAATTTTCCAATTATACCCATATGAAATCAAATAAAAAAAGAATGCATTTAATGCTATTGTAATTCTAAATTGTTAATAGGGACAATATGGTCATGAAAAATGTGTATTTAATATTTGTTGGCTCATTTTCCCAAACTTTGCCATGAGTAGGAAAACAAAACCCAAGGGGTGAGGAGGGCTTCACTTTCTCATGTGCAAGGCAAGGCAAGGACAATTGATTTCTCATACCCAAGTCTCATTTCCCATGAATCAAACGGGCCTAGAAGTAATTAACTATGATACTCTCAACCTCAAGATCAAATCTGTTAGCAGTTGTCATCTTGTGAAGTTGTGAAACACAAAGTAGAAACACACTCTCTCTTGTCTCTCTTGTCTTGAGGAGTCCTTGTTTTATGGACTTTACACACTTTCTTGTCTTGAGGAGTCTTGTTTTATGGACCTTGTTTTATGGTTGTTTTTCCTAGTCAGTCCGTGTCTTTTCTTGTATAGTGATGGTAGGCAATTGGTTGTATATATGATTAAGAAGAAATAGAAAACATAACATGTTGAAATCAGAAAATATGAGCAGCTTCCAAATTCTCTGCACTCTTCATTCTCTCTACTCAATCTTCAACATATCCTCCTAAATTTGACATGGTATCAGAGCAGCGATCTTGGAATTGCTGACTCTTGTTCTGAATCTTTGCTACCTCCATGGGGGAAGATTTTTTTTTTCCCTGCTAGAAATAGCACCACCAACTCTTCTCAACCTACCTACCTAGAAGCATTGAAGACACCGATCCCGACCCAGACACCGATCCGACCGATTGGCCTCACCTGGACTAGGTGTTGCCGCCAACCCAACCAACCGACCCCGATGATCCAGACCTCAACCCCGACTGAAACTACACGATATGAAAAAGATCAAAAAAGATATGAAGCTGCAAGTAGTGACTCTGGCTATGTATTCCATACTTTGGATGATAGAAATTCAACGGGCTGGATAATTGATTCTAGCGCAACCAATCATATGACATTTGATCCTGATGATTTTCTGGGTACCAGTTAACCCAGACGAACTAGTATTGCTAATGCCAATGGAGTTACTTCTCCTGTGACAGGGGCTGGCACTGTGGCTCTCTCATCATCTCTTTCATTATCTAATACTTGGCGCAACCAATCATATGACATTTGATCATGATGATTTTCTGAGTACCAGTCAACCCATACGAACTAGTATTGCTAATGCCAATGGAGTTACTTCTCCTGTGACAGGGGCTGGCACTGTGGCTCTCTCATCATCTCTTTCATTATCTAATACTTTACTTGTTCCATCTCTATCAAATAAGCTAATGTCAGTTAGTCAGATTACTGAACAATTGAATTGTTGTGTATTAATCTACCCGAGTTTTTGTTTACTTCAGGACATTCACACTAAGGAGATTATTGGTCGTGGTACTATGAGAGGGGGGCTATATTATGTGGAGGATCTCAGTACAAGCATGGCTCACAATGTGACACATGATATCAAACAAAGGCAAGTCTGGTTGTGGCACCGTCGATTGGGGCATCCATCATTTGGATATATGAAGCATATTCTACCAAACTTATTATCAAATTTCAAGGACTCCGACTTCAAATGTGACACTTGCATTTTGGCTAAAAGTCACCATGTGCCCTACCCGTTGAGTTCAAGTAAGAGTACTACTCCGTTTAAGTTAATTCACTCTGATGTTTGGGGGCCCTCACCTATAACTTCTCATTCTGGCTTTCGATGGTTTGTGACATTTGTGGATGATTGTACTCGTATGACATGGTTGTACTTGATAAAGAATAAAAATGAAGTGTTTACTATATTTCAGTCTTTCCACAGACAGATTGAAACTCAGTTCTCTACCAAGATCAGAGTTCTTCGCTCCGACAATGAGGGCGAATATGTCAACCATGACTTTCAAACATACTTCCAGATGCACGGCATGATTCATGAGACGACTTGTCCTCAAACACCACAACAGAATGGTGTTGCGGAACGGAAAAACAGACATCTCCTTGAAACAGCTCGAACACTACTGATTGGGCTCATATTCCCCGGAACCACTGGGATGATGCCATCATCATGACAGTTTATCTTCTCAATCGTATGCCTTCGCAGGTCTTGGGCTTTCGGACTCCGCTTCAAACGCTTGCCAATTATGGGTCCCTGCCATCTGTTTCGATGCTTCCACCACGAATCTTTGGTTGTGTGGCGTTTGTTCATCTCCATAAAAATCAACGTAGCAAACTTGATCCCTGTGCTCTCGGATATATTTTTATGGGATATGCTGCTCATCAGAAGGGATATCGGTGTTATCATCCCCCTACTCGTCGTACCTATGTCACCTTGGATGTCACTTTTATGGAGTCTGAAATGTTCTTCCATGATCCGACGTCCAACTCTCTGCCCCAAAGAGACATACAAATAGAACCAATGAGCAAGGAGGCTCTGGAAATTCAAGAACTTGAAGATTGGAGCAAAACGAGCCAAAAAAGTCCGAGAGAAAATGTAATCTGCCCACCCATGATCGGTAGCCAGGAGCCCAGCGACCGGTCGCATCAAAGTACTGAAGCTGAAATTCGAACCTGTCCAAATGCGAC